GGGTAAACGCAGTGCACAAGCACGGGCATCATTTACCATGGATCACCTTTGATTCAGTCTGAGGATTCAGCTCCTGAGCAGCTTTCAGCTGTCCCTAAACGTACCCTGGGGATAAGCCACAAGTCAGGCTTCCCAACTTCCAGCTTTGCAGCTGATTTCAAAGAACATTTCACCTCTCTGCATCCACCTTCAAAATAAGTGTTAATCTCAGTTATGGGCAAAGGTGAAACTCAGTTTTGTGAACGTGCTATGATGCAATTTCAGCTCAAACAACTGCAGCACAGCAACTCAGCTGGTGTCTGTTCCAGGGTAACCAACCCCTCCAACCTCAACAGTTCTAAAACCTTCACTGCAGCCACAGCACCACACAGTGCTGCAGCCTGGCTGTGGACACTGAACGGAAAGTTACTGCCTGTCTCAAACCTGTGGTAAAGATTCTTGTTAGTTCTTTCACCGCATCATTAATTATGTCTTCCATCAATTTCACACAGTCCTGTCAATGTCAAGACTCGACACACAGGCAGATGGAAACCTCTGAAGCAAAAAGGCACCACCAAGGAAGTGAAAGCAGAAGGCTCTGATAGCAGCATTATGGAGCAATGGCAGCAGGTGAAACGCTCAGCAGTATGTGAGTGGTTTGCTTTATTCAAGTCCATTCCAGACAGAGCATAAGCCAACAAAACAGATGCAAAAATTAAACAGATCTTAGTCATGGTTCAGGCTGTTTCAACAGCAATGGAAAAAACAAAAGGAATGTAAACTCTCTTTTTAGAGGTCTTCATCAGAGGTCCTCACTCACCTGTCCTCATGTTAGCAGTGACCAATAGCTGAGAGTTAATGCAAAAGGAGCTCCACCAGAAAATTATCAACATGGGGTAAGAGTTGGAAAAAAAGAAAGTTAAACTGAAATGTCACTTATGAAATACTGAAAAAAAAAACAAAAAAAAAAACAAAAAAAAAAAACAAAAAAAACCCCACTCCTTGGTGGTTTCACACAGGACAGCTTTTGGTGTATGGTTAAAAGCAAAAGCAGCTGCAAAATGAAGTCACATGTAACTTGCTTTATGGCATGACTTTCATGAATAGACAGCTTTCAGCCTCGTTGATCAGGTTGTAACTGGAAATAAGTTTGATGAAACTGATCTGAGGTAACTGCTGTTATAAATGCCACGTGAAAGTGAGTTGTGTGATGCTAGCAAAGATCTGCCTTTGCCAAATCACATTCATCTGAAGCAGAAAGGGGGAACGTTGTTTTTGTTCTGCTGCCTCATCACCTCCTTATTCCTTCATCCCATCCAGTCCCTTCCCCCACTGTTTGCCTTTCTGTAGAACCATGTGAGGAAAAGAAAGCTTTCATTTAGCTGTAAGAACAAAAATAAGCACCAGCACCCCTTCTGTGTCCAAAAATCTGAGTACTTTAACAAAAGCAATACAGATGCTCAGCTCAGTGCTCTCCCAGGATAGCATAAGGTGTGAATCTGCATGACTTTACATGAAACATTCCATGTGCTGTGTATTTTCAGCTTTGTTTGTGCCAGTAAATTACAGATAGTGACACAAAATTAATTAGCAGCAGCCTGAACTGACACAGTTACAATCAAATCACACTTAATTCCTGTTAGTAATTAGCTTGAACTAAAGCAACAGCTGCACACAGATCTACAAACGTGGTGTGAGCAGGTGGGCAGCAATTCAGAGATATATCTTGCCATAAAATATGTTATTCTCTGAGCACTGCTCATCATGAACGGTGCTGTGTGTCATCAGGGTCTGCAGAACAAAAAGCAAAGGCAAAGTTCTCAGCAGCTCTGTTTGGCTGTATGGTTTGGAGCAGAAATTCCACGTTCACAAATGGCTTCAATTTCTAGGAGGCGAAGCTCTGTGTGTGTGCAGAGAATTGGCTCTGAAGACGACCACGCAACGGGAGGTCAAGTCAGCTCAGACTGAAAATTACATGTTATTGATGTAACTGCTCTCCAGAGGAAATAAAGGAAATCAAAATCAACGTGTTCAGAAGGGAACGTGGCTCAGAATGGCAAAATAATAATAAATGAGGGCTGTTTTCAGAACAGCAAGCTAACTGCTTCCATTTATTCTGAAACAGTTCAGAGATCAGCATCGCTCAAAATCAGATCTTCATAATCCCAAAACTCAGGTGGGTGGGTGGGGGACCAACCCCTACCACTAATCCAAGAGAAGAAGTTCCAACTTCCAGACCAGTCGCCAAGTTTGCAAACCATACACCAAAACCTCCGTGCCAGGGTGAAACCCATCTCCACACTTGCAGAGCTACGTATAGAGATGAAGGACTAGAACCAAGGTAAAAAGAAAAATGTATATATATCAAACTTCCACAAGGATCATCTCCATGCAATGAACCACAGCACCACAGCCTGCAAACGCCACTTACTTTTCTCCTAGAGTCACCCGGAGGCTGCTCTGGAGTAAAGAAATTCATTGTTCACCAAGTTGTGTTCAACAGACACCCGTTCAGAACAGAGTTGGAACATAACTGAGTGCACGACGCCACGCGATACTTATTGACACCAACAGCTACAGACGTATTCTTACACAAATAGTTAATTAACAATAAGGCTGCTGCGTTACAAGTAATCAGACAGTCGCACAAGAATGGGAATCAAAGGGATTCAGTAGTGCTGCTGTTTATATTCAACATAAAAGCAAACTGATACTTAAGAAATGACACTCATACTTAGCTTGAATAGAGAACAAATCATCTAATGTTTATTTATTTGAAGCAGAAGCTCAACGATCTACAGATACATCTTTCCTATACTAAATGATCGACGAAGATTCCTGCATCCTAGCAGAATATTCTGCTTGTTGCACACAAAGCAGACCAGAAACCAATCAGCTCTCCTGCAGGCAATGCTGGGGAGCCATCGTCACAGTTTCAAATTCTCAATTTCTCAAATTCTCAAATACTCCATTTACCTTCTCAAACCTCTGTGTTTTACTTTCACCCAAAAGCAGCTAGGCTAAGGAATCCAGATTGCAGTGTCTGCAAACAGAACTGCCATCAACGTGGAATCGATCTCCAAATGACTTGTTGGGTGTTTGTGGTAACTTTACATTCCTAGTCAGTCTGAACAACCAGATTTGGTGCTACAACCAGATGTATCCACCTCTTTTACTGCTAGGTAGATATTTTTTCCCAGAATAACAGGCCTGGAGGCTACAATAAGGCTACAATAAAGCACTTCTAGAAAGGTCACTTAATGAGAGGAAAACTTACCTCCAAATAGATCGAACTCCCTCAAACCCTCAACAATGAACTTTTCGGACACCCACCGCTAAGAGAAAAGAAATCCCCCCAACAATTGGTTACTTCCTTTAGAGACAAACCACTCCCCTTCCCTCCCACACCCCTAAACAAAAGCAGAATCACTTCATAACACACTTCAACTGTTACTGTGTCTGTAATACAGTATGCTATGGACAAGGATTTTCGTTTTGTTTGCCACTAGGATGGCAGGCATGCAGCAAGCACACACGTGTCACTGCATCTCCTGAATGGCATGCACTTGCAATAAGGTTAATGTTAGATTATTCAAACAAGAGCTTTCACACATGCACACAGAGCAAAATAATAAGCATGCTGTGCTCCCTTGTATAAAGATATAAATGTTTGGGTGCAAAAATCAGTGTTCTTATGAAGTGACAACATCTCTGAGCACTTTGGCTACATACTATCTAGGTGCAAAATTAAAACAAGTATCGCAGAAGTGCTGTTCTCTTCCAGAATTCATGCTTAAATGTCAGAGCAAGTATTGTTGGTGCAGAGATACGCTTCTACCATTCTATTTGACTCCATGATTCAAAGAAATGAGGAACAGAGAGTAGAAAGTGCAGCTTTAGGCTTGCAATGCTGACTGCCAGGTTAGCGTTAAGCAATCACAAACAGCCTCGTGTCAGAACGTGGCAATAAAACAAGGTAAAAACGGATTGTGTCGTTCAATGCAAGCAAAGGCAGTCCTGGAAAGCAGCGCTCCGTGGGTGACGGTGACCGGACATCACACAGCGATCACAGCCGCTGCGCTGTAAGCCGTTAGAAGTGCTTTTCTCACGTGACGCCGATTGTTCGACACTTTAAAACACGGAATTAACAACGCCGCCGTTCGGTTTCCCAAATGTTCGGTTCGGAAGGCGCACGGGCGGTACCGGGCCTTCCCCAGTTCCCCTCGTCCCGAACGCACCGCACAGCCAGCAGCGGGGTTTTAACGCAGCTTTTAGCGCGGTTCCCGTGACCCCGGGCGCGGTGCTTTCCATACGGCCCCGAGCAGGTCGCGGCCCGGTTTACCGACTGAGGGGAGCTGGACGCCGTTTAACACTCACCCTAATCCGTTCGGGTTTACTTACAAGAAAAGACATGGACTCCGCGATCACGCTACCTCACGCAGCTCACGCAATGAACGGCAACCTAAGGGACGAGAACGGTTGGTTCGCCCGGCCTGGTCCCACCCGCCCCTCACGCAGCCCCCGGCCCTCACCTTCCCCTCAGGCTGCGCCCTCCTCGCACCGGTAGAGACGCTGCGTGTGACGTCAGCACGCAACCACGTGACGCAGGACGTCTCGGCGCGCTTCTATGACGTCACCTCGCAGGCCCGCGCGCGCATGAGAAAGGCGGGAAGCGGAGGGCGCCGCCATGTTGGCTCTCCTCAGGGTGTGGTCGAGGTCTTTCAGCACGGTTGCTCCGCAACAGCGCGGAACGGTGCTTTACTCCAAGAGGCAAAGCCTCTATCGGTACCATATCGAACGCTTTGCATTGGCTGCTGGCCCTGGCTCCACACCTACCTCTCAGCCGCGGGCTGATTCACATCACTGTCCCCACATCCTTGCTGAGGTAAAGGTAGTTGTAGTGCCTGAGAAAAACTACTACTCAAACACAAAACATACACTGAGCCCTCCCCAGGGCACCTGAGATTTTGAGGTGCCGTTAGCTGAGAGGAACATGGAGTCCAAAGCAAAGAAGACAGGTGGAGTGTTTCAATGATCCTTTACTCTTCATTAGGTAGTTCATTGAATGTTCAAATTACAAAATTAGCTGCCATGGGACTTGGGGAAAGCTGTCCGCTTCTTCAAGAGAGCACAAACCATATTTCTTTTCAAAGAACCTTTTGAAACACAATCATATTAAATCTTCAAAGCTAAATAGTGCTAAAATTTCACATGATCTACCTTAGTTTTGGTTTTAAATTAACTTTACCAACCATTATAAAATTTCACATATTTGCATGGATCAGGTTACAGACTTTTGCATTTAAATCCATGTGAAGTACCCCCATGCTGGAACAAGAGCTTTAAGCAAGTGTTGTTTCAACAGCAGATCATTCTTATTGCCTAAGAACAAAGTTTGCACAAATCATTGAACAAGAAAATGCAAGACACTGTTTCCCCACAAAACTGTAAGAAGTCTGTCACAGCAACAATGTAATGCCTTCTGACTGGAAGCATTTATAAAATGCAGAGCTCTCTCAGTGAAGTGTTTGCACAAGGGCATTCACTTCCCCCCACTTATACTAAAAACCTGAAATGACTGCTTATCAGACAAGACGAGACGTCCTCTGGAACGTTTTCACTTCCTTGGGGAAATTGAATTGCAGATACTTCACCGAACCTAGCTTCTTGCTGAAGTGAATTATGCAGCAGCTGCTAAGACCAAGAGAAATGTTCTTGAGGCAAGTTTTTACAGTTAAAATATTCCAGGAAGGCTAGTTGAAGCTGCTCAACTCACCATGCACTCCTAAAGAAACACGACGCCGACATTACAATTTTACATTGTATTAAGGTCGCAGCATTCAAAACCACAAGTAGGAAACGATGCTCACATACTCCATTCCCTGGTATCTAACCACCTACGTTACCTATCATGCTTACAGGTGAACCAGTACCTTATTTGTAAAGAAAAGAAAAATAGTTTCTGTTCTACTGGGCTTAAATCCCTGAAGTATCCATATTGTGTATGGAAGGCTTTGAGTTTTGTGCCTTTAAAAGCTTGATGCAAATAAATGCACAGTAAATGCTTGTTGTGCAGTTTTCTTCCCCTTAATTTAAGAAATCCTCTCTTCCTTCCTAACAGCTAAAACCAAAGTTTAAAACCAAAGCATTAATGTTACCAGCATACACGGACATGTTTACAATCTCATGTTTTTGAAGAATAAATGACAAAGAGCGTTCAAGAATATTGCATTTTTTTTTCCCAAACAAGTAGCAAAAATTTATACCACCTGGAATAAAACTGCTGAGACAAAGCCCTGTACATAAACCTGCAATGTCGCTGTAATACTTAAGTAAGTAACACCAACGCAGGGAACGTTTCCCTTAATGGCTAGTAGTGTTCAAAGAATTGTAGGACTGTGGAGTTAAGGAGGTCTTTGCACCCCGTGAATTCAAATTCTGCAGGTGGCGAAGAGACAGGCTTCTCACAGTGAAGTCACATAGCTTTCACTTTGATTTGCTTCATCTTCATCTGCTTCTTCTCAAGCTTCTTCTGTTCACGCCGCAACGCAGCTTCCTGTAGGAAAGGATACAGAGATCCCAATGAGCATCAGTGATGTAGTCCAAGAACAAGCTCACCGTTTCAGAAAAGCAGGACAAAGAAGCAACATTCAGTACTGTGCTTGGGGTCACATCTCTGACCAGGTAAGCTAGCTCTCCATTGACAGCCTTCACACATTTCAGAAAGTAGGAGAGCATACACTGAAAGGGCATGATGCCCTCCAGCGAAATAAGCATTGAAGTCAGGCACTGCTGCTGGTAATGCCTACAGACAGCCCTGGAGATACTGCAGGAGAAACGTGCCAGCAGTCTGTAAAGTCTGAAAAATCCACCTCACCTCCAGCCGACGCTGTTTTTCTGGATCCTCCTCATTCATGATTCGCTCCTTCTCTGCTCGTTTCTTCTCCTCTCGACGGGACTGGGCGGCTTCCTGTCTCTGCACATGAGTCAGTTTAAGGAAGTTCTCCTCCACACGGGCCCTGTTCTTATCAGCTTTCTGCTTACCCTTTTCACAGAGAAAAGCAAAGGCAGTTAACAGAGATCCCCCGTGAGCAGAGTGGTACTTATACTGGAAAGACAAGACTCCTGCCTTTAAGATTAAGGATCCAATGTTAGCATTTGGAGTTTATATGATTTTCAGAAGGCACAAGGCACATACTTACTTCTCTGTTCAGACGGAACTTCTTTGCTTTGTCAATAGAGTAGATAACCATGCTCATCAGAGGCAGCAAAGACTCCATATCCTTTGGGGAAGTATTGCCTGAACCAGGCACTGAAACAGAGAGTTTCCTGTTAACTCAGAGAGATTGGCAGGATTTTTCTATTGGCTGTAATTTTCTTTATCACACCACTAATGAAAAAGATATTCTTGTCCACTGCCTTCTATTTACTGGATAATCACTCAGTGATCCTGCTTACATGCAATGAAGGCATTTGTAACATCGTCTTCAACAGGTGAAGAAACTCGAGCATATGACTAGCAGAGATAAAGCACAGCGCCACGCAGACACACAAACACACAAGCAGTTCTCTTACCATTAAATGTAAACAAAAGTGTCTTTTTAGTTTCGGGCAGTTTTGTAAGCTGACCCTCCCTGGTAGGAAAGAAAAAGTTACTGAAATGAGAAAAGAATAAACATAGGCATGCAAAATATCTGCCAATGTCAGGGAATCACACGAAGAACCAAGAGACACTTGCAAAGTACACACAAGACTGAAATAAATACATTTAAGTTTCAAACTACCCAGACTCCTGAACTATTTTACTAAGTTCAGGATTCTAACGCACCAAAGTCAAACCTACATTTCACAGAGCCTCCAAAGCTTAGCCATTGCAGTACAAGACACTGTCTTGCCTTATAATTAAATCAAAGTACATTCCTTTTTTAGAGGACAGTTTCAAGTTTTGATATGGATCATTTATTCATGTACCTGTGAGCAAACCACGCTCTTGCAAAAGCCTCCACGGCATTTATGGTACGATAAAGCACCCACTGCTTGGTAATTGTGAGGCAGCAGTGAAATTACCCCAAGACAAGGCTCAGAGAAACAAAACATACTGCATCTCTGTAATTTTGAAACATTAACTGGAACAACAGTACCTAAGCAGGTTTGTTTTGTTTGTTTTTTGTCTTTTAAACTGCAGACTTTGCCCAAACTGAGCCCTCAGTGCATTCAGATAGCATCTGGATGGACATGTGCTTTTTCAACCACTCCTCCTGCAGCGTTATTTACTCCTGAACTCTTGCCCACCTTTAGTGGGAATACACAATTGTTTTTCATGCAGCTGTGTACACTGGGTCAGCCAGGTGTTATCTAAGCTTGGGAGCTGCCCAAGCTATAGAGTAACAAGCACACAAAAATAAATATTTAAGGCAATACAACACCTTCAACTTCTGAATTAATGCAGCGTTTGGAAGTACTGGGAGTGTATTTATTCAGCTGTTTCACCTTTGCTCCCAGTTTACGTGCATTCCAGCCAGCAGCACACTGCAGGCAAGTTTGTCAGCCTCTACTTTGCTCTGTGTTACAACAGCTACTGGAAGGGGAGATCAAGCTTTATACGTACTCTTGCATAAGTTTTGGACCGGAGAACTGGTCCGAGAATTGGACGGACTCGATCTTGTCAGCATAGTGCGTGAGGAAATGTATCATCTGAAAGGGAAACTGGCGTTAGTTTTCCTATCACTGACACCTTCATCCATGTACATGCTGCGTATTGACTCGTCAGGGTGTCCACATATCACTCAGAAAAGGTTTGTGCTTTGCTTGCCACGACAGCACAATTTGAACTATCAGGTCTTTTAGCCGTTGCAAGAACGGGCCTCAATGCCTGGAATCAAGATGAGCAATGCAGGAGTTGCTACATATTTAATTCCCACTTGGGATTTGCCATTTCATCTGACAACAACTTTAACACTGAGGGCTCATGGACAGATTAATGCCCTCCTTTCATCTGGCTTGAACTAACTTGCAAGCTTTGAAAGGAAGTTTCAAGTCCTCAGTTCATAGGTTAGACTAACAGTCGCTATATAAAAACAACAAGTGACAGCTGCACCCTTCTTCCAGCCCTTATGGTTCTTTAAGGTCTTGATTTTTCTAGATCTCACTAGGGCCATAAAGTTATCGTGATTTTTAAAGGTGATGAAGGTCAGGATTTTTGAACAGGCTGCAAGTGCCAGGAGCACCAAGGAGTATTTGCATACTTCACCCAAGATTACCTTTGCGTCCATCATTCCCTCTGTGACCTCCCCCATCTCCGACAAGATAGCCAGGGAATCTGGAAGCCCATACTTTGCACCAGACTTGGGTTTATCACTACAGAACTCACTCTAATGCAAACAGAGAACAGAGGAAAAAAAATAACAGTAATACAAGCATGCAAATAGCTTATCACAGCAAACTGTTCCATCAGAACAGGACCCCTAAAAATACCTGATAAGAAACAACAAGAGAATGGATTAATTCAGTCATTCTGCCTGGCTGAGGACATTTTGAGTACGAAGTACAGCATGCAGTATCAATGCCTGCAGCCTAAGTCAGTATTTCCCTTCAGGAGCGAGCGCTTCAAGGAAAAATGAAACAACTGTAACACATCCACGCCATCATCTGAAGTGGATCAATGCACGTGGCCTATTTTGTTCAATACAACAACTAAACTACTGCTATCCTGCCAGCCACACCTCGGTGCTGTTATCTGGGACATTAAGAGAGATTTGTGAATCACTGGTTGTTATTACTGGACTCTTTGCAAGCTTCAAAGCTTGAATATTTGGAAGTACTTGTACTCAGACTAGGTAAAACATGATCCAAAATTTTCCACATCAAGTATCACTAATTAAGTTTCCTTTCCAATCCTTAACCAAGTCTTTTGTGCAAATTACACGGGGTAAAATGAGACGTGCGTGTATCCCAACAGCACACTCCAACCTCATCCTAAACAGATGCAAAAAAAATAGGATGCAAGAACTTCTATCTTCTCATTCCAGTGTGAGTGCACATACCAGGTCCTGCATCTCCTTCTGAAGTCGCACCAGTGCTTTCCTCGTTCCGACAGCAAACACGTAGGTGTCCATATCATCATCATTCATCGTTACTTTTATTTGCTGCAGGGCAGAAAGCATTTAGCCTTGATCACATTCCTCAATGCACTCTGTCTTCACACCACCAGCCAAAAGGAGACCCCCATCTCCCTTCCTGCTCCTTCAGTGCTTGACTGACATTTTGATTCTTATTTCACAACCACAAAGAACAAAGCACAGGGAAGGCCATACACAGCTGAGATAAAGGGTGTTAATTTAGAATTTCTCAGTGTGTCTGAGGGAAAGGCAGCTTTTAATTTTTTTTGAGCATTCAGTTCAGCATTCCAGTATGATGCTACATCACGACAGTGATTTCAACAGAAGAGCTGTAAGCCTTCTTTGTGGAGCAGACATCCATTGCTCATGAGCATCTGCCCACACCTGAATTCGGTATTTTTAATGGATGTAAGCAAATACAATTATAGATACATAGAAAAAATATTCCCAGCTACTGTTATAACAAAACGTAATTTCTTGGCATTTCTGTGGTTAGAAATTCCCCTCATCTCCGAGAGCAAGGGACAAGGCAAACAATGACTTTACAAATCAGAACATGCATGCCAGCGTATGCGTTAGAACAGCTCTGTCCTGGTTGACTGAACCAGCAAAGGAACAATTATTTCAGACTGTAAAACCAGATTTTATCAAGATGAGATCTTGAAGCATGACAGACTTTGCAAAATACTCAGTAAAATCCACAGAGACAAAATACGGTCATCACCAGTTTGCATTTTACTGTCAGAAAAGAAACATGAATAATTGTTGCAGATTGTTCCATGAGATACTGAAGTGTAAGGTGCAGAATACTATGCAAAGATACCCAGCAGTGCACTGGTGGGCTATCAATACAACAAAAAGCAGCACAGCCACACCAAAGGAAGGCATCCATTCACCACAGCTAATCTGAAGGGGTGAGCACGTACCACTTGGTCACAAGCTGGCCTCATCATACGTGCAAGGACGTTCAGCAGGTCTTGCCTCTTGAGAAACTAGAAACACAAGATTTTCAACTCAGAATATTGATAGATATACTTAGGACAAAGATCTTCACTGGCAGATAGTAGTGGAAATTAAGGAAAAACAGGGCAGTTTTAAGTCAGTGTTTTTTACAGAAGAACACAGCTTTGATGAACACTTTGGAAGCCACTCACATTGCTCAAAAACAGGCCCACATTTTGCATTTGATCGAGTTGCTCAGGGCCTTGTTCTCTCAAATTACGAGCTGAACCAATGTGCGGGCTGTCCATCCCAGTGCAGGATACTGCCTTTGTTAGATTTCACTGAGGCACCTGCTGATCTATTCCTCTGCTTAAGACCCTCTGAACAGCAGCTGGACTCTTCAGCACATACTGTTTATATTTCCTGTTTTCCACATTTCAAGTATTTCCTTTGACCAACGTTAGTGGGCAGAATACAGGACTGTCTCAGCAGTTCCCCTTCCCATGGTGTATCCAGAACTCTGTCTCTCAGTCTGAGACAAAGCACAGCTGGGCCCTCTTTCTTGCTCACAATGGAAACCGAAATCTGGCAACAAGCAGTGGGACAAACAAACTCATCCTCACCTTGAGCTGGATGAGCATTCCTTCACAGCACACCCTTCCAGAGCACCACAAGTTATAAATGTGTTCATTTTCTTGATTTAGTTTCCCAGTGCTTGTAGCTTCTTTATTAGTGCCATCATCCCCTAAAGGAAACAAGATAACTGTTCACACATTTATACACCAAGTGGTGACAACAGACTTCAGAATCGGTTCTCCTGGATTACTTCAGCATTGCCACGATGTTTCTGAACCACGTACACCACCACGCTATTATCTAAATTCAGCACTGGAAGACTGGCATGCAATTTATCCACATCCAGAGCTGTCATTAGTGCTACCATGCAGCAAGTTGAAAATGCACCCCAGGCACTACAGAACTTACCAACAAGAGCAAAATTGCTTTCCAGCAGCTCCCTGTGAGTATTGAACCACGCGTGAGCCAAACGGTTGTTTTTGTTCTTCCCAATGATGTAATTCATGATATAAGCAAGCAGACCTGTTACCATCAGGATCTCCATGTAATAACTCTCCCAGCTGTTCTGAAGGTGAGCAGGGACCTACAGAAAGTAAACAGGATTCTTAGTGTTTGTACAACTTCACTGGCATACCGACACACAATTAAGCGATGAAATACCAAATAGAAAGAGAAACAAAACTGATGCTTACATTAACTATTGTTATGGGGTCTTTATTTTTGCCAGGAGATGCATCTGGTTTCTCTTCATAGCCTTCAAACTCCTCATCGTCATAAGGCTCACTCTCAGTGTCACCTTCCTGATGGAAAAAAAGCACAAGCATTGTGAAGATCTGAAGTCTGGCAATCACAGTCTGAAAACATACAGCAAGAAAGCATGGCACAGAGATACTGCTAGGGAATGCACAGGGATGGAGGTTACCTGTGCATCTGTGTCATCAAAGTCCTCCTGATTCTCATCTTGACCTTCAAGCTCTACAGTGGCTTCTTCCTCATCATCTTCTGTAGTGATGATCCTCTGAGGGGATTCTGTGACTGCGTCTTCATTAACATCTTCAAATTCAGCAAAGTCATTGTCATCGTATTCCATAATGTCATCTCCATCTTCAAATTCATCGTACTTGGCCAAAGAAAAACCCCACGGGATGAACAGGACAGCAATGAAAATGTATAAATTCTTCATTTTCGCTGCAAAAAATCCAAAACATTGCATGAAATCCTTACGCTACGAGATACCAATTCTGTTACTTTACATCTCCACTAACGTCCAATTTCCACAAACAACTTCAAAGCACTGCTGGGATCAGATGAACAGAAATTAAACTCCTTTGCCTTGCCACCTTCTGTATAAAGAAAGCAAACACTCCTACAGGAAAAACTTGGATGGTTGGTGCAAGACTCTGCAGGAGCAGCTGAGGCAGCAGCAAGTTCACATCTGGCCAAGCTGCTGAGATGAACGAGTTCCAGAAACAGAGATGTGCTGCTATAAAATGTCTCTCCAACAGCATCTCAAAGTCACCGAGTCATTTCAAAGAACACACGCTGTGCAGAGTTGTCATTAATTACAATTGGACACAGTCAGATACGTGCACGTGTTACAGCAGTAAACGTGCTTAATTCATTTACTTTAAGCAGCAGTGCTCCGGTAATTTAAACCACTCATCTGTGATCTTTCTAGATTACATGCCCAGAATCAGGGCATTCCACTGCTATTTCTGTTCAAACACAGAGACATTTTCTTGGACAATCAATGACAAAAAAAAAAAAAGTGGAAAGCAGACGGATATTGTACTAGTCTCCAAAATAACACAACGAATGGGCTCACAAGACTGAAGCTCCCCTGTATCTGCCAGGAACCTGCAGAGATTTGTTAGGGTTCTTTTTGGTGGTTTTGGTTTTCTGCCCTCAGCTTCCTATATCTCCTTGCTTGAGCAGCCCCAGGCTCTCAGACTGTACACTGCCACCAGCTCCGCATCACTGAGGTCCAAACGAAGGGTCTCAGAAGTGAGAACCCTACTGCAGCATTTATCACAGCAGGGGGTTGAAGCCAGATGATCTTTGAGCTCCTTCTCAACCCAGGCCGTTCTATGATGATTCTATGATCTATAGATCATCAGCTGCAAAAGGCTTGGCAGTAAGACTCCTCCTGCAACCGGATCTGAGTGGGAACTCACACGTTAACGAGACTGTTCCCTTCAAAGCTCAAAATAGAAACAATCTGTTTCTAAATTGGGCCGGCACTCCTTTGAGCACCACATGCTCACCGCTATGAATGACAAGGACAGCTAAAATCGATTCCTATGCCAAAGGCTTTTAGTTCAAGTAAAAACCCAAGCGGAACACACTCATAAGAACGTAATGCCGTGCCGGAGCGCGCGCTGAGGTTGTTCAAAACAGCCTTCCCCAGCGAAGGACTCGGCTTCCTGCCCAGCAAAGGCCCGGCTCCCTCCAGTCCAGCCCTGCTCTCGGTGCGGCCCGCAACGCCCGGCCGTGGGCCCGCCGGTACCGCAACGGATCACACGTGGACGAGAGCCACGCTGCAAGCAGCCCCTCACTACGCACAGCCCTTCTTCCCTAGCCCTCGCCTCGTTTAAAGCCCCATTCCTCAACCCGAGTGCCCCAGCTCCGCTGTCCTCAGGGTCGAGCTGCCTCCTACCGAGGGCACGGCAGGTCCGTAACGGGAAGGGACCGAAAGGAAAGCGGAGACCGAGCCCGGCCGAGCCGCGTTACCTGAGTCACGCGGCGTCGCACCGCTCAGGCCCTGCCCGCCGCCACGGCCGCAAACGGCGCAAAGCTACGTACTTCACGTAGCAGGAACAGAGCATGCGCAGTACACACTACCCCCCGAGGCTGCCGGCGGCCCTCCCGTTGCCCGCCCTTCACCTGCGGCTTCACCCGCCTCTAACGCGCATGCTCAGTACGGCGTACTGACGTCAGCGCGCCAAGTACGCACGTACGTCTGAAGGTACGTACGCACGCACGCACATCGGTGCGGCGCTCCATTCCGTCTCCACCCCCCGCCCCGGTAACCGGGGGAGCGGCGGTTGGCGGCTGCGCTGCCTGCACGGTGAGTGAAGGGTGCTGGGCCGGGCGGGCCGGGCAGTGCGGCGGCTCCTCCTTCTTCTCCCCCGGCACCTGCCCGCGGGCGCTGCGGGGCCGAGGCCTGGCGCGGTGTTGCGGGCGGCCTGGGCCCGGCCTGCACAAAGGGCCCCGCGGGCGGGAAGGACCGAGAGCCGTCCGGCGCCGTGTGGGACGGCGGGCAGCAGCGCGGTGCTCCGGGCGTTGCACGCCGGCTGCGGTTCCGGCGGTCCGTGCCGGGGCTCCTGGCGTGCCCTTCCGGGGGCGGGGGGGCCGAGCCCCGCGTTGCTACGGAGTCCCCGCAGCGCCCCATTGCCGTCCTATGGACGGAGTGACCCGCCCAGGAAGTTTTCACGCGGGTGACAGGTCCAACGAATGGTTCTTTAATTTCTGTGTCGGTACAGTGAGGAAGAGTCCCGCAATTCAGACATTGTAACTGAAAAGGTTGCCCGCTGTGCTGTCAGCAGCAGATGCGCAGCATGCCATCCGCCCGTGTGTGTGCTGATAGATCTCCTATGGAGCACGCGGGTGGACAAACTGCAGGCATGGAGGGGTAGGGCACCCACCAGTGCTGTGAGGTACTGAAAAGCAGAGTTTGCCTTGAGGTGAGCCCAGTGTTCAGGACTTAAGATTTATCGAGCAAGTCCCGAGCTGCTGAATGTTCTTTACAGGGTGCAGCAGCAGGATTTATCCTCAGATTATTTTAAACTTGTTTCTTTTGTCATTGAATGATTCCCACTGAAAGTGGGAATTTCCATAATAAGATTCGTGGCTGGTGGGCCGTCCCATTCCAACACTTGAAAGCAGTGTGGTCAGACTCTTTTTGGCAGCCTTCGAGGTATGACTTACTTGATCATGCAAACAAAGTAATTAAGTTACTTTAAATGGGAAGTGTTGTTTCTCCTGTGTTCCAGGTTCTGGCTTTGAGTTTGTTTGTCTTATAGAAATGAAAACTGTAAAGCAAGCAGGACAAGCAGCATATGCTTAAGTAGTATTTTAGGGACACTGTTTTTGGAAGGGAATTTCTTTGTTTTACTGTTTTTCAGATTGCAGATGCACTTAAACTTACAAGAAAAGGACAAAGGCTAACTCCTTTTTGGGGAGCAGATCAAAGTCGTGTCAGTTACAGTTCCCAGGTCTCTTTATCATGAGTACAGTAATCTGCTTTCAAGAAAAATCATGCCGGTAGTCAATACCTGCTTAAAGCAGAAAGGCATTAACTTATCTGTTCTGATTTTAACAGATCTATTGAAGGCATCATGAATTGGAATAAAGGTGGACCTGGTACGAAGAGAGGCTTTGGTTTTGGTGGATTTGCCATAACCCCTGGAAAGAAAGAGGAGCCGAAGCTTTCTCAGCAGTCTCACAGTGCTTTTGGAACAGCCGGTTCTTCTGCTGCGTTTGCGAAATCAGGACCTCCCCAGCTGCCTTCTTTCTACAAAATTGGGTCAAAGCGAGCGAATTTCGATGAAGAAAATGCGTAAGTAGGGTTATTTCTTGCTTCTCTCTGGTTCTGCATTTTAGTCTTTTACTGTTTCCAAAGCAGGGAAAGTATTTGTGACATGTAGGAGGTTTCGATATTTAGAAGAGCCCGCTCAACTAAATGCTCTACCACAGCAATAACATCAAAGAAACCTGAGTTGCTCAGCTGCAGGAAAGCCCCGTGTGTGCTCTGACTCTTATTATCCTTTTCTGCATGGAAAACTTGACTCGGAAACCACGAAAGACAGTGTGTTGCTATGGGCTCTGTGCTGACTGGGTGATGTTTGCTACTTCTCAGGTACTTTGAGGATGAAGAGGAGGATAACAGCAATGTTGACTTGCCATACATTCCTGCAGAGAATTCCCCCACTCGCCAGCAGTTTAATTCCAAATCAGCTGACTCTGACAGCGATGATGATCCTCTGGAGGCATTCATGGCTGAAGTGGAGGCAAGACCCAGCTCCTGAAATGTTTATTAACTCACGTGGCAGTACTTCTCTCCCATCAGAAGCAGCAAATGCCTGTCATGGCTTTGGCAGCTGTCTTCAGAATGTCACTTAGCTTTTGTTTTTCTATGTAAGATGCTGCTAATTAGAACTCAAAGATGAATTAAATGCAGAGGTAGTCGATAGAATTTCCAGTAGCTTATCTACTTGTTTTGGGCATGCTAAGGCTGCACAGCATCTCTGTGCACCTCTGACTGCAACGCTATGGATTTGTGTGTTTTTCACAGCTCAAATGGAAATGATTTGGATTTATCCCAAACAGCTCCTTAGCTGCAATTCTTAGCTGGATTCTGTCAGTGTTTTCCAGAAGAGTGTGGACACTGTATTTTTTTTGACAGCACTGCCACAAAGTTATAATTAAATTTCAAAGTAATTGTTAGGAGAATTTGTTTAGTGTAATAGGATGTGGGATGAGAGAAGGTTTGGTTGAGAAAGTGTTGTCTCTGCGGCGTGGTGATCCACTTATGTAGGAATGATTTTTCCTTCCCATTTGTATCATCTTGTTGTTTTTTTAACGTCTCACAATTTTGTAACCTGTTAGGATCAAGCTGCTCGAGACATGAAGAGGCTGGAGGATAAAGACAAGGAAAAAAAGAATGCTAAGTAAGTTCTTTACTGTAATTCCCATGCCTAACAGTGTCTTGTATGGTGCTGAAAGGTTCCAATGCAATTTGTTGATGTTCACTGTTCTGTAGATAACATGAAACAGTACTGCTGTACCGTAGTACTGGAGATACTGGAGGCTCCTCCAGGCTTGTTTTAAGATGTTCCCTGTCAGGTGATGCATTAGGTAATGTCTGACAATTGGGATGCTAAATTTGGAGTTTAAGCAGTTGACATTTTTGCAGCTGATCTATCAGTGTTGACCAAGGTAAATGATGATGCCATTGATTCTTGATGTAAATGTCAGAAACGTTGGTAGCACTTGCACTGCATGGGGTTGATCAGATTATACGTGGTCCTGAAACAGAACACCGGATCCAAATCACCACCTGGGGATGTTCTGAACCGGATTTGCACTTCCTGGCTCATATTCCTCTTCAGTTATGGGACATCTGGTAGCATCGAGAGCTTAGACCAGGATGATCTTTGATGTGGCTTCTACTGGGAAGACGGAACCCAAATCTTTCAGTCTCGTTAATAGAAGTAAAAATGAAGGCTTTGCAGGGTCCTTGTTGTGGTTGACACCAAAAGATGGAAAATCCATGGGTTGGGATTATGAATGTTACTGAGTTGTTGGTGTTGTGACTTCCACAAAATATGGAGCTCAGCACTAAGCAATTGAAAGTATGGAGCTGCGTATGTGGAACACTTGCAGGGAAGTTTTTTTTTTCTCCGCTTGTTTTTCCAGGGGTATTCGAGATGACATTGAAGAGGAAGATGACCAAGTGAGTTCCTATGCAGTCTTTCTATCTTCTTATTTGTTTATCTTCCCTCCCCAAACACATAATGCTAGGTACAAGCACAACTCCGGTGCCGTGCTCAGTACCCGGACAATTCAGCAGGAAGCTCTAGTGGTTCCCCTGCTGCCTCCACCCTTCTAGGTGTTCCATTAAAAAAAAGAAGAATACTAGGAGACCATTCCTTTCTTTATTGCTTTGAGAAGATTTTTTCAGTCCATTTGAATTTCAGCTTCCTGTACAACGGGTTTTTTGGTATCTAAGGGTCTCATCAAGTTTGAGATGAGCTGAATCAACTAATATGGAGCACCAGTGGGGAAGCTGTTTGCAGTGAAATTTTGTGTCTGTTGAGGGCAAGAATGAGGCTTTCTGCTCTTTGTTTTCAGCAGGGCTCCAGTTCTGTTTGAGGATTGTAGGCATTGCTGTAACAGAATAATAAACAGAAGGGAAGCACTTTGTTTCAAAAATGCACCTTCCTACCTAATTATAGTTACTAACTACCTCAGTAGTTGTAATAATACAGAGGATGGAAGGCTTGTTGTGCCCACTGGCCTTTGCTACCAATTTGGTGAGTGTAGCCATGCTCAAGTTGGAGCTAGGGTAACTTCTACCTGCAGACAGCTGCTAAGCAAGTGTACTGTATGCATATTCAGATGGCTGAGTGACAGTTGGCCACGTGAATGAAAAAGGCAGGTGGGTGTAACATGCCTCTGTAATCGAACCTTAAAAGTCTGGTCATAAATCTTTGCTTGAAGGAAGTCCATTGAGGCTGGTGTCTGTGCATGAGAATGGCTTGTTGTGCCAGGGAGCCATAAGTGGGATGCTGAGAGGAGCTGTGAGGATGGCATGTGACAGCTTCTAACTTGGGCTTGTGTCAGAGGACTCCTGAAATAGTTTCTTTCCCATTTGCTGTTGCTTTTCATTTCTGGAGTGTAATTAGGGGAAGAGGAGGAACTTTAGCATAGTTTGTTTATGTAAAAGAGGTAAACATAGAGTGAAATTGTGCTCACTGTGTAGAAACCTACAGCATTTGTGTTTGGTTCGTGTGGAAATAAGACTAGATTCTTGTACTGTTAAAACCTTACAAGTGGAAGAAGTTCTTAAGCAGACCTGTAAGAGAAGAAGTTGTTTGTTTTTTTTGTTTTTTTAAAAAAGCATTCTGTGGTCTAACTGAACATTGTAGTTGTTTCCTTTGTTTCTTCTTGTCCTTTTTCTGGGCATAACTGTTGATATTGATTAGAAGAACCAGTCCTAGTGAATGTTCTGTTTCTCAGTGATGTGTGTGAAAACAAACAGCCATCTAACATCTACCCTGTTTAAGCAACCTGGTATTTTTGCATCCTGTTGTATGCAATTTTACTGTA